GAACCGACTCGACGGCACATAACAACAACAACAACATCAGCTACATAAGGAGTTCTGATAGTCTGGTGGTTACGAGTCAGGCTGCTAACCTCAATGTCAGCAGTTCAAAACTACACATTGTTCCACAGGAGAAAGATAAGCTTTCTGCTCCCGTAAAGATTCACAGCCTCAGAAATTCTTTACAGTGTCACTACGAGTCGAAACCCACTCCACAGCACAAAACCATCACCACCACCACCAGATGTATAGAGATAGTAAATTGGGTATGACTTAAGTCTTACCCCTTACCTTCAACCCAAACAGGCTTAAATTGCCTTTTTCAGATTTTACATAATATGTAACGGTACCTCTGACATTCTAAATCAAGGGTAGACCAGTAACCTTGAAATATTGATCTTGTCACTGCTGTCCTTCCTAAAATTCTTTTCCATGTACACTTGTATCTTGTCAAAATTAGAAAAGGCTACTCATTTTACAGAGTCCCGGTGTAGCTGTTTCCTACATTCCAATATATATTGGAACAATTCTGAATCTGTCCAATGTATCATGGATTTATTTTTGTCTTTTAAGAATTTGTATATAAGAGGTAATTATACACTCGAATATGTTTCACATTCACTCCACATACATTTATGCAATTTAATTAAATCAACATTTAACTGATCTTATTTTATAGTTGTTGTTGTTGTTAAGTGCCGTCGAGTCAGTTCTGACCCATAGCGACCCTGTACAGGGTTTCCGAGGCTGTAAATCTTTATGGGAGTAGAAAGCATCATAGTTCTCCCGCGGAGCGGCTGGTAGTTTCGAACCGCTGACCTTAAGGTTCGCAGCCCGATTTGTAACCACTACGCTACCAGAGCTCCTATTTTATAGTTACAGAGGCATAATAAGATGAGCAAATACTCTCTGTAAGTCAAAAATATAAAATGGGCAAAATTGCCAAAAAGAAACATGTTAGGTCTATGGAGAGTGATCAAACACAGAAAACAAATTAAGAAGCATTTATTTATTTTCTTTTTTATTGTGTTAAATATATATGTAAAAGCATGTTCTATTTTAATCATCTTCACATGTATAGTTCAGTGATATTATGCTTATTATGTTGCTATTTGGGGAAGGAATAGGGTTGATGAGTCAGATGCGTTTATTGATGAAAATGATTCTATGAGGGTAATAAAAAAGTATTGCTTCAAAAGTATAGAAACCTTTATTAAACAAAACTATCAAAATGTGAGGCTGTGGTATCTCAGCATAGCC